GATTCCCACATCCATTTGAATCCTCTTTCAACCCATTCTAAAGTTTAATTCTGCGTACACATTTCGCAAACATTATACTTGGCCATTTTGGAAGCTATAAAACGCCTAAGTACCATCCTCAGTTCCTCGTGTTCCTCCTCTGTAACCCTTCCTAAAACCTGTTCACGTCGAATTAATTTACCGTGTTGCATAATTGAAACATAGGATTTCCTTCCTGAGACTTCTGCGACGAGTTTGAAAAAGTTTGATAGCTCAATCAAAAGCACGAAGAGTTCATAAATATTTATGAACTTTTTTTAAAAGAACATAACATTTAATTGAAAAATTTTAATCCGCGTCCAATTCTTCGATTTCAGGAAAGCTGCTTATTAGAATTTTAGCTTTATAATCTGTTTATGTAATGAGAATCATCAGACAAATATGCACCTTAGTTACTACTTATGGTTTATTGAAATGAAACAAATGTAATTTTAAGGTAATACTAAAAACTTTAATAAATTCGCATTACATGATTGCTATACACTTTTTAAATCATGATCTACCATATGAAAACTGCGCTATTACAACGGAATTGCAAAAATCTGCCAAATCTTACTTTATATTTAAATATCTAACACTGTTTAAGTTAATTGTTTGCACCTCAGGCATTTTTACGATCGCGTGACGCGGAATAGAAAACGCGATCGAGGCACCAGCTGCATGCTATTCGCACGCGCGACGCGTCTACCCTGTCTACGTGTGAATCGATGGCTGTCAAATATTTGCGGCGAGAAAATAAACGTAGTCAGATGTGCATTGAAGAAAAGCAACACGCGTTCGAGACACGTACAAGGAACAATTGTACTGTCTTCGCGATAGAGAACGATCCTGATTTATAGAGTTTGTGACGTGAACAGATATTAGAGTTTAATAATTTAATAAATTTGTTCTTTTTGATCTACGGCTCTCGAGTGATTTTCTACTGGCGAGAAACTGTATCTATCTTATTTAAGTAATTTAACGTCAGAAATATATTTCATTGTGGGTAATTTATCATACCCTTCCTTTTTACCGAAGCTGCAGTACTATTCAGTCTGGAAAATACACCTGCGTACGACAAAATGTTATTCTACACTTTCCTCTTATTTTTCAATATGCCAGAACGGCTCCCTTGTTAGTTGTATCCCCAGTTATAGAATAGCCCGCGTTACCTTTTTATAAGAAATTGCAGGTAATAGGATAATAAGGTGTACAATAGTATAGAACAGAATAACGTAGATATGCAAAGTTGTGAGAAGTAGAATTGTAAATATTTCTTTTCTCATCTATTAATTTTCATTATAAATGTGATTAAACACTTGAGGCTATTCATGTGGAAGCCAGAAGTCTCTTAGATTTTCCAGGTGTGTCCTAAACTAATGTTGTTATCTATTAATTTGTAATGCAAACGAGAATTATCTCCAACATATTTTTCTTTGATACATGCGTATATCAATTTTTATCTGGGGCTATTCAAGAGAAAAATGTAACGAGTAGACTGTGGTTTTTATGTAAAATAAAATATTTCCAAGAGAGGATTGAAAAATGAGATATGATTTGCATTTATGAATTAAATATGATAGGACCCAGGTTTCTTTCAACATTTTCTATGCTTTTGCATACTGAGTGCACTGTTCAATTTATGTATTTTATAAATGCATGAAAATCCGCAATTTGGTATTGAGAAATCTCCAGGCATGAAAGTGGCCTCGTCAACTAACAAGAAGATTCCCACATCCATTTGAATCCTCTTTCAACCCATTCTAAAGTTTAATTCTGCGTACACATTTCGCAAACATTATACTTGGCCATTTTGGAAGCTATAAAACGCCTAAGTACCATCCTCAGTTCCTCGTGTTCCTCCTCTGTAACCCTTCCTCTGCTGATGACGTAAAGTGGAAGTGGAATTCTTAAATGCGTCCAGAACGGTAGTATAAGTCCGGTCACGAAATAGCTACTCTACTTACTGTCTGAACTTGAACGGCACGGGGATCGTGGAACAAAATTACGTGGACAAAATTACGTGGACAGCAAAAGACTGTTGTTAAAGCAAAAGCTCTGTGTTACGCCAAAGGCGAGGAGCCTCAAACAAACTGGCTCAGGCATCAGTTGCTAAGCTGCGATCAAACGTCAGCATAAATCATCGAAATTTATTTATGCAACTAAGTAGTACGCGTTCGTTGAAGCTTGTTACCACTGGAGCATGAGATTCACCTAAACGTTCAATCTCCTTAAAATGTAACTCGAATCGTGTGGGCAACTCTTACTTTGAATAACATACACAGAAACTAGCCGATAATTTCTCTTATCAGTGATTCTAAAATTTGGTTTTGTTCGAACACGTGCTAGTATAATGTTTAGAGCATATAAAAATCATCTTCTATGTTCCAAAAAAAATTCAACAATAAGTTATATTTGTATTTATATATTTTATCATCTTTTAATTTAATCCATTATTTTTTTAATATTTTAATTTCTATCTTTCAATACTTTGATTATCTATTATTTGATTTCTTACAATTTTGAAATATTCACTTATTTTCTGGCTTATTCCATGTTTAATCTTTACATAAGATAACTGGGTCACCTGACTATTGTATCTCCTTTCAAAATATCTAAAAGAATAAATAATGCTGGAATAAAAATGAGATCCTATAGACATTATTCAATCGGCAAGTGTCCTTAATTACATTTAATCGATTCCCAACTGCGAAAATATGGAATTTGCACAAAAAAAGGAAGGAATCGAGATAATAGTAAAAATTTATTTAACGTTATCGGCTGTCGAATATAAAATATTCATCGGTTAGATGTAGCGTCGGTCGTTAGTAAAACTAACGGGCAGCTAACGACGACAGTATCTTTCACAGGAGATCGAAACCAGCAACGAGTGCAAACTGTCCCTTTGTAGAGATAAATTGCTTCCACGAAACGTATTTTAAAGTTCATTGATTCAGTTCCCAGTTAATGTGAATGCGAAGTATTTTCATTTTAAAATTAGATGACAACGGGAATGTATATATGTAGATTCTTATTTCTATCCTCGGGTTCTTCAACTTGAAAAACAATTCTCCACGAACGAGTGCACTCTCGCCGGAAGCGAATGCCCCGAAGCAGAATGCTCACTCGTTTAGGAAGACAACACCCAAGAGAATTTTCTGGTTCATTGATATTCAAGTATTCGAATTACAAGAGATCCTCAAGGCGCTTAGCAGTCCATTAAGTCGCGCAAAATCGATCAACGGCGCCGGTGGGGGAAACGTGGAGACGACGGCGCGAATGTAATATTTATTCAGTTATTCTAGGAATGTAGAAGCTCGCTTATGTGACTCCTCACGGAATTCGTTACTGTAACGCGTAGAGCTTTCGAGCAAGAAAGAATTCCAGATTTCAACTAAAGTACATTTCCCTGCTTCCAGATAAATTTCGTTTGCCTTAGAGATTTAATTTAAGATTCTTTTCAGATCGTATAAAAGTCAACTGATAACGCGTTTCGAAAATGAATAAAAATGGTTGTTAAGGAAACAAGTTGAAAGTTTTATTGCCACGCCGTTTGTCAATGTCTTCTCTCTAAAGTCTTCCTATCTATCTATCGAACAGAAAAGAGCAACAACCTAATTCTATCAACTCTGTTTTAGTGCCATTATTCTTTTGATAATTATCGAAGATGCAACAGCTGGCACGATTTATTTGCACAGATGGACATGTAAAATGGTCGTTGTTCCAGTCGCGGTGGTGGTGACATTTTTCATCTGCTGGGCGCCGTTCCACGCCCAAAGGCTGATGGCTATCTACGTAAAGAACAGCAGAGATAAGACGATACAAATAGTCTATACGATCCTCATGTACGTGTCGGGGGTGTTTTATTTCCTGTCCACGACGGTGAACCCGTTGCTCTACAACATCATGTCCAACAAATTTCGAGAGGCTTTCAAGGTGAGCTACCACTTGTGAATTTCGTGCTCGAGAACTTCCCTGTCATCGTTCCTTCCTACGATTATTAATCACCGTCCACGAGCAACGATTCATGAGCTTCCTCATATTATAACTCTCATCCCTTCGAGTTAATTAAAAGAGCAAATACTTTGAGCTCGACGAAACGCTTTAAGCGAATTGAAGTCCACTTTCAGTCGATGCTGTCGAATCACTGCGGCCGAAAATCTGTCCCGCGGCAGCCGACGTACAGCAGCCTGTCCCGTTGCCCGCGCTCTACGTTTAGGCAGACGGACGATCGTCAGAATTCGCCGTCGATCTCCGTCAGCGACGACAACCAAAAGCTTTGCCTTACGCGAACTACGAACGTGTCCGAGCTGAACGGCTGCATGGAACGGAACGGTCACGAACGGTTATCCGGCTCGAGGGTCAACAGGGGCAGTCGCGAGTACGGCAGAAGCGCGTCGAGGGGATCGAACTCCAGTCAATTAACCACGATGACGACGATTAGCAGGGGTTTCAACGAGGGTAACAACAACGTCGCCGTCGGTCACGTTAACGAGTGTCTGTTGAAGATCCGAAGGCCACCGAGAGCTGTTACTCTTGGTAAGAGAATAAACTGTATTGTGTATTTATTAATTCGTTCCCTTCCTACAATCTTATTCCACTCTATAAGGTAAATGTCTTAATTTTTGTTCACGTTACAATTTTTACTCAAAATTATAGACAATGTTATTATTTTAGAATTGTAGAAAAATGAGTTAGTGAATAGAAAATGTATTTTTGTTAAACTGAAGAAAAATATGCCAATAAATAGGCTTATATGTATATTATCTTAAAATTATAGGAAAATAAAGCAGTGAATAGAAATTGAAATATTTACCTTATACTATTCTAATCTACCTTAATTCAACCCTTTACGCTCGCGTTCTACGTATACATACAGTTTTACTTGTGACCCTTAATGCCTCCATCGATTTCTCTCCCACTTACCTTGTTCTCTTATTCTGCCTTTGTCCCCGTTTCATATATCACCTTGTCCCCTATCAACCTCTACCCTTTATTTTTATCCTTTTCTACCTAAATTCTCTCTCTCTCTCTCTCTCTCTCTCTCTCTCTCTCTTTCTCTCACTCGCTGCCTCTGCATACATTTTGGACTTCCTTTTCCGGTTTTATGCTCTATATTCTACCCTATCTCTTGACATGTCTTCTAACTCATGTGTTTCTCTCTGATATTTCTCCCCACCCCTAATTCTTATCCCCCATCTTCTCCATTCAATATCTCCATCACTCTCTTATCAACTCCTCTCGTTTATTTCTCTTCCACCATACGTTCCTCCAGCACATGACTCTAATCTCCCACACCCCATCCACACCTTCTACATTAAACTTTTTTCTTCGTCTTCCCAGAACCTTCGTGCACTCATTTCATTTTGACCATTCAGCCAAAAACGCGCTATTGTCGACCATTCTTTTTCTTTCGCTCCCTTTCTCAAATAATCAAGTACCTCTTCCCACTTTATTAATTTAAACCAGTAAATTGATTATATTTTGCATCTATTATTTTTTTCCAATTCGCCTTCCCATGAGTTCTCCTTTCCTCTCTTTCTACCCTCCACCAAAATTCTTTCCTATACTTCAGAGTCAGTTTTAATTATTGGTTCGATATTACAATGGAATTTGAACTATCTTTCCGTCACAGGGTTACTGGCTGAAAGACTGAGACAGGGAACCAAAGGGCTGTTCTCCAGCCAGCAGAAGAACGCGGAAACGAAACCGGAGGTACTGCCGCCTTTTCAAAGCCATCCGAGCATCGAGAGCGCCAACACGATCAGCAACTCAAGTTTGCAGGACTACGACGAGACGGAATTCACCGGCACTGAACTGGCTCGATACATGGGCGAACTGAACAACGAACTGATCACTTAACATTCGGTTTATCAAGAACGTAACCGTTACTCCGTTTTGGTGCGAATACTCTATCTCGTTCAATACCGATTGTTAGAGAATCTCGAGAGGCTTAGAATTTGAATTAGTAAACGATCCAGAATGTTTGTATATTTATAAACAGAACGAACGACTCTAAAATTAGAGAAGTGAAACTGTTACCATAACGTAAATGTTTAAAACTGGAAACTAAAGAACGTATTGTAAATAATATCATTCGCAGCTCCTCGACTAGCACTATTCGACTCCTCATCGCGCAGCTGTACTTATTTAACAACCGAGCATTAAAGAAATCATTTCACGCGTCGATGTTAGTAAAATTGTAAGCGAGCTGACTAAAAATACCATCTACGTTTCGTGTATTATTGTATGTACTTCATGTTAACATCGCAACACACTCGCATTCAAACGTTTCACAAATGAAAGTGATAGAAGAATTTCTCCGATAAGTGTTAAATGTTATTTATTTTTGTACGTGCATCGTGTACAATCGTATTCGAATTCTTTACTCCAGAGTAGACAGACGTCAGATACAAAAATACATAAAAATGTATAATTTTAGTGTAACAGAGTCTCATGAAACATGTGCGAGCAAATTGTATTAAAATAAAGTGAATTTCGATTAGTCACGTTATATCGATTACAAAAATATATTTATCAATAGTTAGTCATCGAGAAGAGTTTAGAACAACATTTTTGGACGGCTGTCGAGATACGCTTTGATCTTCGGCAATGATCTGACTTTCTCCTTAAGTTTCTTCAGGTCAGGGAAGTCTTCGGTAACTTCGGTCTTCAGCTGGTTGTTGAGCGTTTCCAGATGTGCAGCAATCTGGAGGTCTGCCCACGTGAGCTGCGTTCAAAATGAAAAATCTCGTTTGAAAAAAAATTATATAATGATCGAAGAGCAAAGCCTCAAGTGAGAAAACATTTATTCCATATTTTGGACTTATTTTCTCATGTAAAATAAATCCCTCCACAGTTGTACCATCAACACTGGAACACCTTGTGTAGAGCACATTTGATAGTAATTAGAATTACCTTTCCACCAACGAGGAATCCTCCGTTCTTCTTTACTTGTTCATCGAGCTTCTGAAGGGTGAAGGGAAGTTTGACATCGATCTCTTGCTTCAATTTCTGCTTTACTTCAGGATTCTTCTCCCACTGCCAGCGCGCCATCACTAGACAAATATTTCAATCATAATCCTGTTTTATTCCTAATGACAATTGTAAAAAAAAGAATTGTGAAAAGGAATCTTACAAACTGATAAATCTGCAACGAAATCGATGGTGGCGTCGATTTCGTACTCTTCGACGTCATTTGCACCGTAAAGATTGTTCCTCTTTGCGATAAGTCGACCGATAGCTTTCGATTGAACGTACGGCTTTCCATCGATCTCCAAAACTGGTACTTGACCCAATGGCATCGCTGGAAATTGTAAATTTTAAATAACCAGTCAAATTTATGTGAATAACAAAAGTTTGCAGTAGATCTTTCACGGAGATATTCTCACTGGATTTAATTTTGGGCCATTCTTCGACGTTGAGAATTTTGTTCTCAAATTCGATACCGCTTTGGTGCAAAAGGTACCTGATTGGCTCACCCAGTCCAGTAAAATTAAAATAAATAAGCTTGTAACTGGACATTTTCTGTAATAAAACAAAGCCTTATCTGCATTTATTAATAATTTTAATTACGAACATGAATTATGAAACAGGATATACGAAATCAGTTGAAGAATAACAGTGTACCAGTGTTAGGAGATAGGATTGCATAATTCAGTAGTCACTGACGTCACTGACTGCCGTCGTTCTCCCACCTATAGTTGCTAGCAAAATACCCTACCTACTCCTTCTACCAGCAAATTGGCTTGATTCCCCTCTCGCAGGAGAACGTCACATTGTTCTCATTATCGCTGCTAAGTTGATTGTCACGTGACCGCGATAACTGNGATTTATGTGCTATGTAGAGTAGATTATACAGTAATTGGAATTACCTTTCCAGCCACTAAGAATCCTCCATTCTTTTTTATCTGTGCGTCGAGCTTCTGAAGGGTGAAGGGAAGTTTGGTGTCGAGCTGGGTCTTCCAGTGCTTCTTTATTACGTCATTTTCTGCCCAGTGGTAACTGCTGACAGCTAGAAAAATATTTCACATACAATCTTAACACGTCAAGCGCCAGACCTGTTCTGCCTTTCTTTTTCAGTAATCAGTGACTGACAGGGCGCTTAACGTGTCAATTAATATGGAGAAAGAAATAATTACCTAGTCTTAAATCCTCAAAGAAATCGATGGTGGCGTCAATTTCGTAAGCTTCAACGTCATTCGCACCATAAAGATTATTTCTCTTCGCGATAAGGCGACCGATAGCCTTCGATTGAACGTAAGGCTTTCCATCGATCTCCAAAACGGGTACTTGACCCAATGGCATCGCTGAAAAATTAATCAGGATTTTAATTGATTGATTAAATTTATCTGAATAAAACAAAAATTGATGATAATTCTTATGATATTTTTACCGGCTTTAACTTCAGGCTTCCAGTCATCGAAGGTCAAAAGTTTTTCTTCGTACGCGATGCCGCTTTGGTGGAGGAGAAACCTGATTGGCTCACCCAATCCGGTAACATTGAAATAAATCAGCTTGTAACTGGACATTTTCTGTAAAAAAAAAAACAAGACTTATCTATATACTTTTACCTGCATTTGCTAATAATTCTAATTACAGAACATTTAATTTAAGATTATTTGACAAAGTGATCTTTGTATCCTGAGATTCCAGAATTGTTTGTTTCCCGTATTCTGCATTCCACACACATCGTATGCTACGAACGTAGTGCGATTACCTAACGAGTTGCAGTTGTTGATTCTAAGTTAATTAATTGCATATTATCTTTACTATTAGATCGACAAGGAAGTAATTCCGGTTTTTTAAATGCTGGTCATTTGTTAAAACCAAAATTATCCTTTTGCCAACCCAATATTTGCAACATGTGGCGAAATTCTAACAAACACACATATGCATGCGATAAGCATGCATATGTGTGTTTGTTAGAATTGCATATGTGTAAGTATAAGTGAGATAATAGCCTTCACAGCCGTGGCATTGAAAATGATTAGTAGTACCTGCCCGGTCTTTCTAAAGTTCGTTTCATTAATCTACAGAGAACATAAATCTAGCTAGTAAATTAACGATAACACTGTACCATTCTAATGAACTATTAATTAACGGAATGTAATTATATTTCGCAGTTCTTTTAATTGACATGTAAATATATGAATTACGAGACACTTAACCGTATGAAGAATTATCGGATTTATTATGAATAATGAGAATATGATTAAAGTGAAACTTACGAAGATTTCAATTCCAAGTAATAATGAACGAGTGATACGACCGCTCTCGAGTTACTGACTGCCGGCTGCGTTGCGTTGCAGCGTATTCAACTACTCATCAGCTCCCATCTCC